AAAAAAAAAAAAGTCTCATGTGCGTTGACGATGACTGGAAAGAAAATTTTACCGCAAGCACGATGAAAAATAGTAAAACTTAATCGCTTGGCGTTCAGCACCGATGAAAAATCCAGATTTCCAGATCACCATCAGAGCGTGACAAATGAAACGCACATTATTTACGGTGAAGAACTCATGTAAGCCGTTGGGCGCATTTTCGAAGATCACGATCGGATTATCGATACCGATATTGGAGAAATGGACGCGTCGGCCAGTAATCGCTCGGACGATGTATCAAATTTCAAAGGCACGTTCTATATTTAAAAGTATCACTACACACGTGTATCCCAACTATTATGTACGCTTTGGCATTTGGGCTAATAGGGCTTTAACGAGCGTTTTGTTAACGAAAACGTCTCCCGTGGCAGAGTTGGTCAAAATACGTTAAATGTGGATAAACTTGGCGAGGAACGCGTGTGAAAAAAAAAATTTTCGATAGAACCTAGGTGATGATGATACAGTACCCATTGGTAATCACTATAATGCCCAGCTCACGAGTATAGGTACCGATGATTTGGTTTTCCCACATGCGTGCGGCCCGGCGTGACGTCACCTTACATACACCTCCCATTGGCCTCTTTATTTTTTTCTCTTTTCCCCTCTTCATCGAATCTCTTTTCGTATGGGTTTAAACCTCGACGCGCGACTATTTCGGCCCCGGATATAGCCCCGAGGTTGTATCCGTTTCACTTTCGATTGCGCACACGGCGATGCTATTAATGGCTCGTCGAATAAATTCATCGAAAGCTCGTTTATCACCAATACATGTACATATATATATGTATGTATATATGCAAGCCGGTTTTCTCCACCACGTGCGGTAAACACGTATTTTGTAACCAATGGATTTTTATTTTGGCTGTAGTGCGTATAGTTTGTCCTTTTATCACTCGTAGCGCATATACGAAGGTGTGAACTGGATAAAAGCTATCGCACAATCGGCCGATCATTAGAATAGCTTTTTTTTTTTTTTTTTTTTTTTGTCATTATCGCCGATACTTAACCTACTTTCGTAACCTTGAACGTGTCTCTTTATCGTGTAAATTCATTTGTCACGTTAGATAATGTACGATTATTGCATGGAACGCCAAAATTGAAGAGTTTTTGATTCCTGGTCGCAACTCTCGTATCGATCTTTTGCCTCGATTGCGCTGATTTAGCTCTTTCCACGGACCCCTACTTTCGAGTAGATTGTGTCTCACGTGAGTCGTCGAAAAGCTAGCTCAAGAACACAATTTTCGCGCACGTAGATAAGCTTCCTTTGTACAGCCGATCTTCATTGCGTCCGCCCCCCGTTGGAGCAGTGATTTGTACACCGTGTCGATGGAGGGATGATGATGACTAATTTCACGCTCCAAAGGGCACCGGAGACCCCATCGCTACGTTGTACTTTTTTCCCCCCAACGGAGGGAGATGGAGAAGAGAAACAATCGTAAAACAGTCGCGCGGAACGAAGATTGATAAAATAATCGTCGGGCCGCGGCAACCTTGGCACGCTTCGGCGAAAAACCGGTACGCGGTAAAATCAGTGCCGGTAAAATGAGATGATACTGCTTCTACATACACACACTATGTGCTTGCGCGGCTTCTGCACGTGATTTAATGCTCATAATTATTAGCTTCGTCGCGGGTAAAGGCTTTTGTTACGACGGCACAGTTCGCCCGTGACCCTATATATATATATACTTTGCAAACACTCTACCCGCGTACATGTAGTACTTCTCGTTGCTTTTTTTTTTTTGCCTCCAACCGCGAGCTAGAAAATAGTACATGTACACGCACCAACGCAGTGATGATAAGGAAAAAGAAACAAGGTTTTACCCGCGCGTTGCCTTGGTCAAAACTCGGGAAAAGCCCAGCGATAACGAAGTTCGGCTTACCTGCGCCGACACAATAAATCCATCACCTACAAAACTCAACCGCGATCATCACTGTACATATCACAATGGGGTCCACCAATGAAACATGCTTCATCAATCTCCTCCTCGGCGCAATTTGTCCCCAACAACAGTTCCCATACTTCATCAGAGCTTATACCCTTCTCCCCCCCCCCCAAAATAAAAGACGGCAGCTACCGTTTTACCCTACACAGTATATTATATGCATCTATATATGGTATAAGAGTAAAGCGATCTCGCATCGCGTACAGTTGGGAGGAGCATCGTACATGTATGTGCATCGGACGAGATCATCAATCCTCGCGAGATAACAAAGCCTTTGGGCGCCTGGACGAGACATTGGTATATATATATATATATATATATAGTACACAATAGCCCGAAATAGAGATCTGGGTATTCACATGTACTTACAACGGGGCTTTACTCATACATTGTACTTACAATCAATGTTGTTGATATNCGCGGGGGCCGGGGGAATCCGCGAAAAGTGTCGAGGGTAGCACACGCCCCGTTGATTTTCCTCCGGTAGGCCGATCTTCATCAATCACGAGGCAGTTGCAATAGCCCCTCCACAGTCGTTTTGCATGGGGCACGATGGGCTTCTAAATAAAGCGCGCGAGAGTAAGTAAAACGAAACACCCGCTGCCTGCGCCGCTACTGCATCGAAAGCGTGTATGTATATAGTGTTGTGTGCACGTATACATATTTATATATATATATATGAGAGAAAGAGAGGACGCGTACACGCCGCGAGAGAGATTAATCATTCGCGGTATGCGTGTTGCGAGTGCCTATGTATATGTACGTGTTTCAGTTGGGTGGGCGCATCTTTGTCGTCGTGCGATCGTGTATTATTGTTGCGCGTATGTGGGATGGATATATCTACATATTATTTGCTTATACGTGGGTTGTATACGTGCAGATGTATAGTCAGGAGAGTGAATGTGGAACGACCTCGCTTGGGCTATGGTTTTTTTTCTTCTTCTTCTTCTTCAATTTGAAGTAACCTCGGCGTTTTCTACTCCGCGGATATGGACAAGTTGTTCTCTGGAATGCGCGTGGGGGTGAGAGCATTGCGGTGTAAAATCAGTCTTTGCTCGAGGAAAAACAAAAAGGAGAGCTTGAGTAATTTAATAATAAGTTTTTTTTTTTAAACGTATCTGGAAACAATGCTGAGTCTTTTCGGTTTTTTTTTTTTTTTTTTTTCAATATATTTTGGGTGGAACTTGAATATTATCAGCGGGTTGATTGAAAAACGAGCGATAAGATAAAAAAAATGGTTAATCGATCGCCAATTTAACTTTTTTCTTGAAGAGTGTTGATAATTTTTTTTTTTCCTACCCCGAGGCGTTTCTCGTGACATTTGTATGTTTTACTGGTAGGTAAAAGTAAGTACCATTCCGCGAGTGCAATGGCACGTCTCTCTGATGAGAACTATTTTTCAGTTTTTGGCGTAACAACTGATTGGCCTTTGTTCGTAGAATCGCTTATCTACGCGCAGCACGAATTTCATGGAAAACAGAAATGTTTATAACTTACCACACTGTAATTTGTATCACCCATTGGTTTCATTACGAGACTTACAATTTAATTCGATAAAATTGTAAATGGTAACTTTGATACAAACCACTTCTTTCGCGAAGAAATTAAATGGCTCGTAGTTAGTTTGTGTACTCGTATACAGATACCTCACGCAAGTACGTTACACGCGTGCGATAATAGAAAGATTGCGGTGCTTAATTTAGGTATGACGCGTTTAAAAAGACACGCGCCAGTGTATTCCATTCCTATACGCGGAGAACAGTGGATTTTTGTTGTTTCAAGATCCATCGCAGGTGATGATTACTCGAGAAAGAACTCTATTTTTCCAACTGTTGTTATCTCGTCTTTTTGTTTTTTTTTCCTCCTCAAGAAGCGATTGTTCTTCGAGGAAAATGAAATTATTCGTGAAACTCGGCTTGTTTACACAAACATTGTGGTTTCCAATTGTTTTCAAGTACAAAAATACAGAGAGTTCGGTCATCAAACTTTCCAACGGCTTATCGACCGAAGAAACCAAAGACCTGATTTCGCTATCTGCGGGCTGATACGACGAAAGGGAAAGTAACAATTGACTCGCGCGCGTGTAAGTTGAGCGCAAAGGCAATTAGAAGCAAAACTCATAGCCCAAGTTCCAATGTAGGCGGGAGACTCGTGGTGGGAGCGAACGACGGACGCTCCGATAGACCTGCCGCGCTCGCCGGCGGAGCATTAGAGTGCGGACCTTTTTTCAGAACAGTCGAGAGGTTTTGTTTCCTCCTCGCGCGCCTATACGTGTAGGTATACTCCCTCGTTGTTTCACGTGTACTTATCGGCGTAAACGAAACTGTGCGCGAGTGACATTTTGGTTGTGTCGTGAATCGCTTCGGCTGTAAAACGAAGAAGCGCGTGGTAGTGAGCAGTGGTTCCAACACCGGCGGCATCCAGTGGCATGATCTCCGCCTGGATTCAATCCCGAAGCAGAGCACTTTTAGGTATTTTCGAGTTTTTTTCTATCTCGTCTCCAAATTCAATCGGGCACTTTGCGCACCGAGCATACATTGAAACTTAAGCACCGAGTCATGTCAGCACAATTGCAGGCTTACGTGTTCCGCAGTTTGAAACAAGTAAAAGCAAAACGTGAGATTTGTCGCTAAATTGTGATTTTTAAAAAAAAAGGAGAAAAAAAAACGTACACCACGTGGTTGGATTTTTTTTTGTTTCAATAAATTTGTTCGACTCCGCGGTGTGGAGCTACTAAAACGTATATCTGTATTGGTAACGGAGTCGGAGATATAGGCGTACAGTTAATGGCTCTATATACTATACGGTAGCCTGGAGCGCTTCGGGCTCTAAGGCCGAAATAATCTAGTGACGCATGCCTTGTGACTCGCATCCGCCTTCGCTGGCGATTAAAATAACTATTAGTATGTAAAAACGTGTGTCACTGTTGCGAACACACTGCGTCGTTTCGTAACACTTGCGCGCGCGTGTGTAAAAAAAAAAGGTTTAATTTTGCATTTATTCAGCATAACTGTTCTCTCTTTCTCTAACGCGTGTAAAAACGTTGGTCAAGGTATTTGTTAACGCCGTACACGAGTTTTCTTTTTCTTGGATCGATTAAGACAAGTGATGAAACTTCAAGTTGGAATAACTGTAATTGTAAAACAATAAAGAAAACTCGCTACTACTGAAGCGAAAAATGGTACTCGTTTGTTATTTACTTTTAAACGGCACGTTAATGGCTTTTTTTAATCTTTGGAAAGAAATGACAAAAACAACGATAAATTTAATTTTTCGTTAATTGTTTTTATATATATATATTTTCCAAAGCCTCGTAACTGTGTGCTTCACACATTACTATTTATACATTTTGTTGGTCATACAATTGGTACTGCGGCACATTTCAATGTACTTTTCTCACACCTACACGAGAGCAACGCAATGATGTTTCCACGATGTACTAGTTTGTGATGATGTAAACACTTGGGCAAACATTTTTTTTAAACATGATCTCTTGCTTGAATTGTTTTTTTATCATGGCTTATATATTGCTTAACAACTTTTTTTCCAGTAAAAACAATTTATTACAATTTGAAAAAAAATGTTAATATTTTATTTCAAATACTTTACAACTAAATTTATAATATTAATTTAATATACAAAATGTACTGCATTGATCTAACGGCTAAAAATTTTTCTCGGTATTGTATTTTAAATATTCATAAATAAAAAAAAAAAATTTTTTTCGTAAACAAAAAAATTTCGTGCACAGCGTTGTAAAATCCATAAAATAATATCGTGCCCAAGTCTGATTGTGTCTGATTCAATACACTTGTCTAATGAGGTCAGCGGCAAACTAGAATGTTTCGCGTCATTCAGTTCAATATCAGAAGGAATTTTATTTTTTTCTCAACATTTTACGTTTGCAATAACACAGTGTAATATTTGGAGACGAGAAGTGGGAAGATGGGATTTTGTTTTTTTTCTCAATCTTGTTACAAAGAAATATTTACAGATTATTGACGAGAAGAGCTCTGAAAGGCATTTCAAATGGCGACTCTGTCCCTACGCATCTCAATACCGGACAAAAATGCGACCAAGATGATGCAGTTCGATCCAAACATACACGTCGAGGATGCGTTTCAAATTATAACGGATAAACTGATGGAAACTTATAAATTAGAACACTCTGAAGATTATGGTCTGTTTTTTGTCAACGAAGACCTGAAGAAAGGCCTGTGGCTGGAATCTGGTCGCAGGTTGAATTATTACATACTGAAGAACGAAGATGTTTTGGAGTACAGGAAAAAAATTAGGTATCTGAGAGTGCGAATGTTGGATGGTACGTTGAAAACCGTACTGGTCGACGAAAGCCAACCAGTGGCGAATCTCATGGTGCTCATCTGCACTAAAATCGGGATAACCAATCACGAGGAGTACTCCCTCGTTCGCGAAACTGCCGAGGATCAGGCAGAAAACTCAAAGTCAAAAAACTTTGGCACGTCGACGTTGAGGAGGTTGAAGATAGGAAGCAGAGTGGAGAGGGAAGCCAAGATGGACCAGATGAAGAAAAAGTTGAAAACCGACGACGAGTTGAACTGGATCAATCCGTCCAAGACGCTGAGAGAGCAAGACATCGACGAAACGGAGACTGTGCTGTTGCGACGGAAATTTTTCTTCTCCGACCAGAACATCGACAGCAGCGATCCGGTCCAACTGTCACTTTTGTACGTGCAATGTCAGGATGCTATATTGAGCGGAAAGCATCCAACGACTCAAGCACAAGCGTGCATTTTTGCGGGCATACAGTGCCAAGTGTTGTACGGAGACCACAAAGAAGACAAACACAAGGCTGGGTTTTTGCAGCTGAGAGAATTCTTGCCTCAATCGTACTGCAAAGCTATTGGAATCGAGAAAAAAATTTTCGCCGAGCACAAGAAGCACGCGGGACTGACGGAACTGGACGCCAAGGTACTTTACACGAAAACCGCCAGATCCTTGAGTACGTATGGGGTGACGTTCTTTCTGGTGAAGGAAAAAGACAAGAGCAAGAACAAACTGGTCCCCCGACTTTTAGGCGTCACGAAGGACTCGATTCTACGACTCGATGAGAAAACCAAGGAAATCTTGCAAACTTGGCCACTGACATCCGTCAAAAAGTGGGGCGCCTCTCCGAAAACGTTTTCCCTGGACTTTGGCGACTACTCCAACCAGTACTACAGTGTCCAGACAACCGAGGCTGAACAAATTTTGCGAATCATTTCTGGCTACATCGACATCATTTTAAAGAAACAAAAGGCAAGGGATTACCTGTACACCGAGCCCGAAGAAAGGTTCGCGGTGATTGAGGACAGCGTGTGTCCGCTTTCTGCAAATACCATACAGCCCGGGACAAATAACGCGCAGTACTTTTTAGAGACGATGCCATTCGCCATCCAAAACTCTATGGTTACGACAGACATGTCAGAGCCCCAAAAAGCTTTGCTAACTTCCATTGTGATTGCCAAGGAAACGCTTCAGAGCTCCGAGAGCGCGCTAGCCCACGAGGAAGTGATCCCTGACCTCGGCAACGACGTAAGATCGTTGCAATGGACGGAACAGACAATTTGCACGCACAAGCAAAACATTGTTTCTCAAATAGCTTCGATCAATGCGGCAACGGCACAAGTGGTCACATTAATGTCGAACAATGTTGACAACGACGCAATGAGCGCAACAATCGAAACCATAGCGACGAAATGGCCAGAGGTGGCGAAAAGTGCGAGAATCGTCGCTGCTTTGAACGAGGATGAGTTTTGCAGTAAAAAACTTTTAAACGCCACTCAAGATCTTTGTTTTGCATTGACCGATTTGTTGACGGCTCTGGAGCCCCACTCGACGGAGACTAGGCCAAACTTGTTGAACGCAGCGACCTACGTTGGCGAAGTCTCTTACGAAGTGCTACTAAACACAGGCACCGAAAATGTTGTCGACAGAGAGACGCAAGATGCCATTTTGTCGTACGCGAAAATCGTTGCCAATACGATGGCTGTTTTGGTATTGAAGGCCAAAAATATGGCCAACAACTGTGGAGATTCGGCCACGCAAAATCATGTCGTGGCCGCCGCTACCGACTGTGTCCTCGTGACATCTCAACTGGTGGCTTGCACAAAGGTTGTATCATCAACTGTAGATAGTCAAGCTTGCCAAAGTGAATTAATCAAAGCAGCCAGTTTGGTGAAAGGGGCTGTTGACAATCTGGAAGAAGTTTGTGACGGGACAAACGCCAACGAGAGTATCAGGGAGGATTTGAGCTCGGCTGGTACTGATGTTTCGAGATCACTGGACAATCTTTTGGATCGCGTTGCTTCGATACCTCGGGAAAGACAAAGCAAAGCGTACACGCAACAAGAGGCAGTGGAAGAAGTATTTGTAGCGACTGATTCGCTCTTTTCCAGTTACAATGACACTACGAAGCTGATCAAACAGGCGAGACTCGTCGGACTAGCGACAGAGAAACTCATACAGTGCATAAGAGGCAAGGCCGAGAGACAGTCGGATGCCGAACAAAAACAAAAACTACTCGCCGCAGCGAAAACTTTGGCCGACGCAACGGCAATAATGGCCAAAGCAGCGAGCCAGTGCACGAGTAATCCCGAGGATTTGAAAGTTCAAAGGGACCTTCGTCGGGCGGTTGAAAAAGTACGCGAAGCCACTGCCACCACAACCACACCAGCCATACGGCGGAATTTGGTATTGAAGTTAGGGAAGTGTGCAAAGGTTGCGGCTTTCTTTGCAACGCGATGCGTGGCAGATTCAGCCGAAGCGGGTGCGTGCAACACGAGCAACGTTGCTCAAAAAGAATTGAACGCCGAGTGCAGCTCAATGGCTCAACACATTCCCGACTTGATATCGGGGGTCAAAGGTGTCTCAGCCGAACCTGATAATTCCACTGTGCAGCTTGCATTGATAAATGCTTCTGAGCCATTTGTACACTCTGCGTCTCCCGCTGTCGAGGCAATCAAACGGGCGTTGCCCACCATCACCGACGGCACTTTGTCGTTAAAACTGAACAACGACTCCCAACAACTCGAACAAGCGCTCGTCGATTTACGATCTGCTGTTTGTCAAGCCAAAGAAGTTTGTACCGACATTCAGCTGGATGCTGCTGAATCGCTCATGGAAAATTTGAAACTGGAGCTCGATGAGCTGGTCAACTCCACCGCAGCTTCTTTGAAACCAATGCCAAGAGATAGCGAGGAGTTTGTGCCGTGGGAACCTGTTGTATTCCGTCAGAGGATCCGACTTGCTGTGGCACAATTAATCGCTGCAGCAGAGAAACGTGACGATTACAGTACGGGAATTGCCGCCAAAGAAATTTCAGTTGCTTTGAAAGATTTTGTATCGTCGGTCAAGGGTATTGTGGACACGATGGACGATCAAGACGATAGACAAATGGTTTTAATGGAAGCCAATGATTTTGTGTTTACGTCGATGAAACTTGTGAAAGAGGCCAGACTTGTTTTGAAAAGTCAAGGAGATTCGAGCGGTCAGGACCACTTGGCAGCGATCGCCAAACAAGTGTCGTTTTCTTTGGACAAATGCGTATCTCATTTACCTGGACAAAAGTGCCCTGGAAATGAGCCCACAGTGTGCGATGATGCTGTTAGGAAGATTCAATCGATGATTCCATTACTCGAAAACTCGTGCAAACCCATATCAGATTCTTCTTATTCCGAGTGTTTGGACACGGTGATGAGAAAAAGTAATGATTTAAGCGATGGTATGACAGGCATCGTTAACAGTGCAAAAAATTCCGAGCACGAACTCTTTTCCGAATCCGTTGAAGAGGTATCACACTCAATTTGTGATTTGATTGAAGCAACTGCTCAAGCTTCGTATTTAGCTGGTGCAAGAGATCCCAATTCCGTATCGGCAAAGCCCAATACAGTGGACCTAGAATACATTTTAACAGCAGTTGATTATATTCACTCGAGCTGTGACGCTCTTGGTGCCCACGAAATCTCCCACCAAGATGTTCTTGCTACTGCTACATCGATCGCCAAAAACACCAGTATACTGTGTAACGCATGTCGTTCAGCATCGAGCAAAACTAATGATCCAGTGGCCAAAAGACATTTGAGCCAGTTAGCAAAGGATGTTGCCAACTCAACGACTGTGCTGGTTAAGGAAATGAAAGCCTTGGAAATGAACTTTTGCAATGTCCATCGGGACAGGTGCGTTGAAGCAACGAAACCTTTACTCGAAGCTATCGATAATTTGTGCGCCTATGCCGGCTCTCCAGAATTTATGAGCCAACCGGATGAAGTGACGATTGCGCCCAAAACTTTGCAAGAACCAATAATAAACGCTGGCAAGGCGGTTATTGTCAACTCAAGCGCGATGATACTTACCGCGAAAAGCCTCGACGTGAATCCCAAAGATCCATCCACATGGCAGGTACTGGCCAATCACAGTAAAAGTGTCAGCGATTCGATTAAATTGTTGGTGGCGTCCATACGTGCTGGGGCACCCGGGCAGAAAGAATGTGACCTTGCCATCACCAAACTGGCCCAAAAAATACACCATCTCGACACAGCCTCGTCGAACATTCTTTCCCAAACCTCGGTGCCGCACTACAAGAACATGTTTCAAGAATTCATTGATCGAATGGACAATGCTGCTTGCGAATTGCACAAAAGATTAGAATTGTTGCGCAACGCTGCCAAATACAAGGCAGATAACATTGGCCAGGCGGTAATGCAAATTGTATCGTATTGTGATTCGCTGGTGGACGATGCGATAAGTATGACTTCACACATGATCAGATCGAATCAGCAAGCCGTGCTGTTGGGTCGGACAAAAAATATTCTAGAGTCCACGCTTCGGACAATGTTTGTAACGAAGGAGTGCAGTGGACGTCGCGAACCAACGAATATCCATGGTAATTTATATAACAGTATAGACTCGACCAAGAAATCCCTCAAAGAATTACAAAACACCCTTGAAAGTTTGTCTGTATCTAATGGTGCGGTGAGCGGTTTGATCGACAGCATAACAAGGGCTATGGTCAAGTTGGAAAGCGACACGCTAACTTCCCAAGATAACATCGAATCGTTCGTTACTTACCAAACAGGGATGGTGGAAACTGCGAAAGAAATAGCACGCACGGCACAAGAAATCTCAACCAAGTCGAACGTGGATGACGCAAGGGTCAAGTCGCTCGTCATCGACATTTCCCACACGTATACCGATTTAGCTCGAGAAACGCTCGGCGCTTCCATTGCGACTTCAAACAAAAAAGTATCAACGGAACTACGAACTTCAGCTCGAGAACTGGGAAAAGCTTGCTCGGACATGGTTCAAGTGGCCGGCACTTACAAAATCAAGTCGGACGACACTTGCGTGCAGAAGGAGATTTTCGAGTGTAGCAAAGCGATAAGCGAAAAAGTATCTCAGATCCTGGAAATACTTCAGGCAGAGTCTCACGGGACCCAAACCTGTATTAATGCGGCAAGCGTCATATCAGGGGTCATCGGAGACTTGGACACGACGATAATGTTCGCCACGGCTGGCTCTTTACACGCCGAAAACAAAAACGACTCGTTCGCCAATCATCGGAGCAACATACTAGAGGCAGCCAAAGCTCTGGTCAAAGATACGAAACAATTGGTTGCTGGAGCTGCATCCTCCCAAGAGCAATTGTCCAGAGCTGCTGAAAACATTGTGTCGACCATCACCCAACTGGCCGAAGCTGTCAAGTACGGAGCTGCGAGCTTGGGAAGCAATAACCCCGAAGCTCAAATCATGCTTATTCATTCCGTTAGGGATGTATCTTCCGCCCTGGGCGACCTCGTGCAGGCCACTAAATCCGCAAGCGGCAAACCCGCGGATGACCCAAAAATGGCCCACTTGAAGGAATCCGCGGAGATAATGATAGCCAACGTCACATCATTGATAAAAACTGTCAAGGCCGCGGAGGACGAGCACACGCGAGGCACGCGGGCATTGGAATCGACCATCGAGGCCGTGTCCCAGGAGATAAAAAATTTGACCTCGTCCGAGTTTGCCAAGGGCAGCCAAGTGACACCCGAAGACGTGATACGTTGTACCAAAGACATGAGCATAGCCACCGCGAAAGCCGTGTCCGCCGGTAACAGTTGCAACCAGGATGACTTGATATCAGCTGCGAACATGGGCCGGAAATCGATCGGCAACATGTTGGCGATTTGCAAAGTCGCGGGCAACAATCACGGGGCAAGTGAAGAAACGAAACAAGGCATACTCCGAACTGGCCACGATGTGGCGACGAATTACAAACAACTACTCGAGATCATTCATCAAATATCGATGAACTCGAGCGAAAACAAACACATGCTGCTACCGATATCCCGCAAAATTGCCCAAGGTGTCACGGAACTGGCCTCGATCGCGCAAGTCATGAAGCGCAACGACCCAACGGGATCGGAGGATCCCACGGTCATAGCTGAAAATGAACTGCTGGAGGCCGCGGCTAGTATCGAAGCAGCCGCGAAAAAATTGGCGAGTCTCCGGCCCCGCCAGGACGTACCAAAGTGCCGGGAGGACATGAATTTCGATGAAATGATACTGGAGGCATCAAAGTCGATAGCCACAGCAACGTCGGCTCTGATACGGGCGGCGAGTGCTGCGCAAAGAGAGCTCGTGGCCACGGGCAAGGTGTCGGCGACGCCGTTGACGAGTTCCGACGATGGACAGTGGTCGGAGGGTTTGATATCCGCGGCGAAAATGGTAGCCGCTGCCACCCACAGTCTAGTGGAGTCCGCCAACGACATGGTCCAGGGGTACAGTGGTGAGGATCGGTTGGTTTCCAGCGCTAAACAAGTGGCCGGTAGCACGGCTCAGCTGTTGGTCGCGTGCAAGGTGAAAGCCGACTCGGACTGCGAGAGCACGAAGCGCCTGCAAGCCGCTGGTAGCGCCGTTAAACGGGCCACGGACAGTTTGGTCCGCGCCTCGCAGCAGGTGGTGCAGCGCGAGGAGCAAGCGCCGCTTGTGCTTAACGAAAGAATCGTCGGTGGAATCGCTCAGGAGATCGACGCTAGGTCCGAGGTGTTGCGAATCGAACGGGAACTGGAAGAGGCAAGGGAGAAGCTCATGCGCATTCGAAAAGCCAAGTATCGCAACAATGCCGACACGGATGATACGGATGATGCTCCATGAGTATTTTTCCACGATTGTAGTTGCAAAGCACACTTTCTCTCTGTATTTAACTTTTCTGCAGTGGGACTTTATATTTCTACTTTGATCTCCTTACAACCTTGATCACCGATTCATCGGCTACTATTTTTTGTATCTCCCAAGTGAAATAATTTAAAGAAAACGTCAACAATACTTTTTTTTTTTTTTTCCTCTTCGGTAAAGAAGCAAGACAAGCATGAAAAACATTGATTGATGACTAAATACATTTAACAGCAATGTCGCATGTTAATTGTTGTGGGTTATTACATGTTATTGTTGCGATTTTTTTTTCATCTCGAAGAAACAATTTTTCATCATTGTAATAGCAATTACTAATGTCAATTGTCTTGTTTACCTTAATTATTGTATCGATTGATTAATAAAATGTTCTTACCTCGTGCGTCCATTCCGTAAGTATAGGGTAATTTTATTTTTTTCGACTTGCACCAAATACGTACCCACGTACTTTTGTTTAAGCGAAAATCGTGGATTTTTATAAGATTAAATTCATTTATTTTATGCTCTACTTGATTGTGCTTCAAATTTTCAACCGCTAGAGTTTAAGATTATTCATTTATCTTTACATCTCAGTCTTGTACCACTAATTGAGAGAGAATTGTAAATAGTCATACGTAATAAGCTATGATACTGTGTTGTAAATAAATTTTCAATTCCCAAGTATTTTACGATGTTAGTAAGATTATTGTCAAACTGCAAGGAGCGAGCGCAATTTTTGTAAGCCAAATGTTTAACCATCACATGTTTTTAAATACACGCTGACGCTATAAATAAATGATATTTTTATTTTATTACTTAATTGATGTTTTTCATTTCTTCTTTTTTTTTTTTTTTTTTTTTTTTTTTTTTTTTTTTTTTTTTTTTTTTTTTTTTTTTTTTTGTAAAAATACCTTACCCAATCAAATAATTCCACGAAGTAAGAAACGTGACATTACCAGAAAGAAGTATAAAAAATATCAAACAGATGAATGAAAATACCACCGGCAAAACCTACTTGAGGCCACTTGAGATACTTATCAATACCGTACTACCGGAATTTCCAAATACTTTTTCCTTGCTACATGGTACCATGGGTCTAAATTCATCATGACATAATTATTGTTGTATTATACCTTGGTTTCACAAGAAAAAAAATGTTTTCACCAAACTATTGCGCAAAAGAGTACAATTACTAATACTCCGTGATGAGCGACCATCATTAAGATTCGCAATGTATGGATACGAATGTATTAAATAACGGAAAGCCACGGTGTCTCTCAAAAAAGTACCCATCAGCCCCTGCCCCCACGCGCCCCACAACAGTATTAATAAATGCCAATCCAAAGTGCAGCGGCCGCCTTCAAATCTAAAAATAATCAAATTTTCTCCCGAGCGATTTCCGCCCAAAATCCCATCGCGCGTAGGTACGGCAGCTGCTGCTCTCTTCCGCCAAATTAGACGGACGAGCGTTGATTTAACGATTACCCGGAAAAGCCCAGCCACCACACAAGTGTGTACAACAAAACTACGACGACCCCCGTACATGTACATTGTATCACTTGCACGCGGAAGAATATGGGCGTAGTAAATCCACGCTCGAGCTGCGCTTTCTAATAACAACCCAGGCTCTTGTGCATTGCACACAGGTGCACTAGCACTTTGTGGCCCATGATTTTCGTCAATTATAACAATGATGATAATAATCGCATACAATGTATCGAGTTTTTGTATCCGTATTTTTCACTTGCTTCGGGGACACTTCGAATGTCAATTTTTAAATAGAACAATAACCCGAATTGTTTTTCGGTACAATCGTTTTTTAAACGTTATATATTTCAATGAAAAAATGTTATCAACAAAAAGCAACTTTGTAAAGTAGAAGAAAAAAGCATTTTCTTCTCGAATAGTTTAAAAACGTAGAAAATGATTGTACTCGAATAGCGGCAACAAGACGAATAAACAGTAATTCCGATCGGATCAGCGTAACTCCGGCTGTATATAGGGGAGGAGATGAGGCGCGTCAAGCGTTTATGTATATATATATATACTGCATTAATCACAAGGTACTTGCGGCAAAGATCTATTTATATAAGTACAAGGTACTCGCGAAGCGCTGCAAGTGGAGAAAAAAAAGGGCCCCTCGGATATCAATCTTAATAAGCCGCAGCCATTATAATCAACAGCGGAGTACTTATGAAGCGCCAGACGCGCGAAAACGAAAAAAAAAAAGAAAAAAAAAGCTCGGACCATCTCGCCCCGCTTTTCATGTTGTTTTTGCTCTTCTTCTCGCCCGTTTGTTATACATACATCCCTCGCGAAGTGAGATAAACTTCGCGAAGTGAAACGAACTTTGTGTAAATCAAAAGGGTTTTACACGCGCATGAATACGTGTACGCGCTACATGTAATTATTCACCGCGGCCAGTGAAGGTAATTATTGCCTACTCACGCGCTCGCCTGCACGTGGTTTAAAAATGTTAATATGCCCAGCCGTGCGTCTTTCATTGCAATAATTGCAGTCGCAGATGAATACGCGTTTGTTTCGATTGACGGCAAAAACATTAAAATAACATTCTGTACTTCATATGTGCTCACTTATCGAGGATCTCCGCGGGACGGCGCGTAATTGAATTTAATACACTTTGTGACAATATTCGTTGTCTTTGTGATAAATTTTTCAATCGAATGCAAGTAAATCACGGAGCTAATGTCCCTCGGACTATCATACATGTACCCATGCCCTATATTCTCGGGAGAAACAGACATGATATCTTCAACATTGATTGTTGCGCGAAAACGCACGTCCACGATATATATTTAAAAAAAAAAAAAAGACTCGAGTGTATACGAGAGGGAGAGAGGGTAGAAGAGCGCCAGAGGTAATGCCGATATATACATACATATACAAATGAGTATACATATGTTGGTGTACGTACGTGCGTATGGGCGCGTGGAATGCGGGACGGATCGGCACCGGCTGATAAAGTCGCGTCGGCGGCGTCGGAATGCGTCCCTCGACGGCACGTATTTTTCCCTCCTGCCCCCCCGCCTCTCCCGTTCATCCTACTTTCGTTTTTATTTTTTCCCCGTTTCTTATATACGTATACTCTCTCATCCCGTTCCTTCGTTTAATCGTTACAGGTATACGCCCCTCTGCGGCTCGCATTTTACGTTACTCGTTTTTCTTCTTAGTCAATAAACGCGTTATGAGAAAAGGCGAACCGAAAATATCATTCGCGTGCGTTTTCTACTCGAGTAAATTTAATTTTTCAGTAACGCTTGAATCAATTGAAAGATCGCGTTGTTTTACGAATCGCGTTTTTGTCACACGTATCAGTCTCGGACCCGCAGACCAAAAAAAAAAAAAAAAAAAAAAAACAGACATCACGTATGGCAACACTTGTCATATACAATATCGGTAATTTCCAAGTTACGTCTGGATTTCTGTATATTGCATGCTTACAAGTGTCTATCGGAGGCAAACTCGATTGTTACATAAACAACAGACCCCTACCTTATTCCATCCAGTGGAGCACCTAGTGTATAATCTATAAGCCAAACTCGAATGTATGAATAATCGTGAGTAGCGGTAGCAAGGGTAGAAAAAAATGAGAGAGAAAACGGGGAGGCGGGACTATATGGGAGATAGAGAAAGAAAAATCCCATATACAACCGCATATTTGCGCTTTTAATGCGAACGGTTTACAGAGGCGTGTCCGCATTTATACCATACATGGGCCATTCTACCAAAAATGGCCTTGTTTGTGTCCCAGTCCGTTACAACGTCGTGTAAGGAGATATCGATCTAAATATTTTATTTAAATAATCAAGGGTTGTTTTTTGATAGAGGCACAACAGGCTTCAGATAAGAAAAATTCGACGACGCCTGAAATCCAAATACGTATTTTTATATGTGTTTTCCGTGGCATAGAATCTCAAATTCACTAACATTTTCATGTATTTTAGAAAAGAAAAAAAAAAAAGAAAAAATTGTATCCAAGACTTGGGTGGTAACCGAAATCTGATAAATTTAATATTTCAACGGATGATGCTATCAAAAATGCACGCAATTAAATTGGGACGTTTTGTATTGTACGGAGGTCGAGAGGATGTTTCAGTCTCCCCAAAATAAAAATTAAGAGCCCGTAACGCTAAAGAATGCCATGTGTCTTCTCGAGGTGTTGAATCATCGACTCGGAATCAGGCGAGGGGTTAGAATATAGCTGTTTCGGTACATGATGTAAGTGCAAGGGCGAAGTTTAATAGTTTAATTGTTATTTGTTGCGTCACACAAACCTGCCCCATTACGTTGGCACTGAAAAATTAATTTTCGACGGGTCCCCAAAATTATACAGGTAAATTTATCAGAAAAATCCAAAATCCCTTTTTACGGTCCTTTTCCTTGAAATACATTCCATTTTTCGTAGACTGGCCCATACGTATAGGTGGGTGAAAAGGAACGGGTGGAGACGTAACGCGTACCACATATATGAAAGAGTACAAGGTATATATATGCAGGCGTACAGAGGAAGAAGACGCGAAGAGAGAGAGAGTAGCGAGTGGCGGGAAAAATGGTGACTGAGATCGGTGGGAGGGTGGGGAGGGGTTGTTGGTCCATCGGCGGCTGCGCGGTTGGTTGTATTTTTAGCGCGCTCGGGTCCTATTTTTAGTAAGGCCGGCTTGCTTTCACGGTAAGCCCCCGCGCGACAGGTTTAACCCTGACTTACGTGCCGCGTATGTCTGTTATTTTTTTTTTTTTTTCTCTCGTGCAAGAGAGGGACCCTTCGTACAGTATTATGCATGCATCCTCTTTTTCTTTTTTTTTTTTTTTTTGCTCCTCGCTCCTTTCTCTTCTTTATCTTCTTCCCTCCGCGACTGCGCTTGGGCCCCTCCGACCCACCTTCGCCTCCTTTATCGTGCACGTAACACCGTTGCTAATGCCGATGCGAAAAAAAAAAAATCATGAATTTTTTCCCTCGCAACGCGCCACCGATCTTCTTCCGAGAAAGACTTTGTTGTAAATCATATTAATTTACGGCTACCTGTGCCAGAAATCATTTCCACGGGGGCCCTTTAACTCGTCGTTACGCTCCTGACACTCGATCTCCATTATCTCTTCTCCCTTATATTGCATGCAACACACATGTATGTACCTATTATTATTATACCTCGTGCACAATTATAGAATATCATGTACCTATTTAAAAAGCATCAAGAGCTACGAAATATCTATACATGTATGTGTATAACACCAGTATGTTTGACCAGGGTATTTGCTGTTACGAAAAAAAAAAAGATACATATATGTATTGATTCGTTTTGTAAAAAAATAATGATAAATAATTACAAGTGGGCCGAGAAAGAGGTTGCAGTGTTGTGGTTGATACTTGAGGTGCTCGAAAGCGACTATGGTAAAGTGCAGGCCGCCACAGCATCATTCGGCGGTGGTGATGATAATAGGAGCAGCAGTTCCGTTCCAGTCGTTGAACCTTCGTTGTGTGTCTTTTCTCCCATCTTTTTGCCGTGCCCCTTGAATTCGCTCGCATTTATTTTGGTGTACACACAATACACGCGTATCGCGTGTGCATCTACTCGTACTCTCAAAAGCTCTCAATGGGCCAAATATAGCGCGGCTTTGCTGCTGGTGCTGTTATTCAATCATTATGATTGGCTAAGGCACGAGTGAGTCCATGACGTGTATTTCCTTGGATTTTGGTAAACACTTGCACAAGAAATCACTTGGTATATACCGATTTCTATTTTTTTTTTTTTTTTTTTTTTTTTTCACTTATAATAACCATTGACTGTACCATTGGGCACATCTGCCAAGACAGTGTAAAAAAAGAAAAAAAAAGCACGAAAAATCTTGGCAAGCCCTCGAGAAGCTGATCACTCGCGTGAGCATCTGCAAAGCTAAACTCTAAAACCATACACCTAAGGCAGCGTGCGTTGTCGTTAGTTGTCGTCGTATAGATTATGCATGCATTGTACGAAATAATATTAACATCTAAAAAAAAAGGCAGCGCGCTACAGCTCACAAAGTCGAAAATCTCAGTAAAAAAAGGAGGTTTAAGTCTTTGAGGTAATCCTTACGAGAATCGTGGGACTTCCAATGATCTGTGTATTAATCGAAACTTATCAATAAATACTGTCTCAACTGTGCAATGATATAATTTTACGATACGTCCATAGGCAATTAGTTGCGTTTCAAAGTCACAACATATGTATATATAATCTCTGTTGAGGGTGTTGTGGGCACTAAAACACTGAAATGGATAAAAATTTGTTCGCATTTTTATATTTGCATAGAAAGAGAGAGAGAAACCGAACAACAGGCGAGACTGTAGATTTTTGCCAGGCCGATTCTATATGTTGAATAAAATTCAAATGGACCCGATCGATCGACGATCATCGTGATTAAATTGCCTTTCACTTCTGAGGAAATACCAAAGAGAACGGAACAAATTGTATCGAATAATTAACGAATTATAGATATATAGGAGAAAAGCCCTTGCGAACGACAATCCGGACAGATTTCCTCCATCGGAGTGTTTATACATACATAAACCTGCCTAGAGAAATTTCGAACAATATATACATTACATTATATGCATTAGCCTGTACGAAAGTGTAACGCGTTTTCATCGCGATGTTCTTATAATATATATACGCCACCCAAGTACCTAACACTCCCAATGCAGTGTACACACTAAAAGATTAACAAATCCGTAGATATACGGCGCACGTATATAATACGAAATCGAGAGCGTTTCGAGCAATGGAGTGGGTATAATGTATATGTATAATAATATGCATGTGAATAACCAAGAGATCGTGGCCCACGATCGGCTCGCTCCCTCCGTCTCTCTATTTTTTTTTTTTTTTTTTTTTTTTTTCCCTGTCTTGTTCCCCCGTGTGTGTCTCTTTGTCGCGAATTTACGATGATGTTAGATCGCTGTGTATGGTTGCAAACTGTATATGCATTTACCTTTTACAATACGTTATTTTTGAGCGCGTTAAAACTTAAAATATGTCATTTAAATACCCCCTTCCCCTTTTTTTATTATTAATACAAAAATTGGTGCATGTGACATGGTTTTCTTTTGTTTATAAGTCCAATACGCGAATTTGAGGGAAAATCAATGCTTCGTATATGTTGCGTGTGACAAATCGAAGGAAAAACTTTATATTTTCCTTTCTCGAAGGGTTCGACGATAACATACTGATCGTCCTCCCATCTATACACATCTCTGTTATATTTGAGAAATTTATATATATATATTTTTTTTTGTTTATACACACCCACTGATGTTTAATTACTAGTAACTGTTCCACCCTCACACATATGAATATAACTCGTTCAACGTTAACGATCTTAAAAAAAAAAAAAATTGAATACAATACCTTGTTTCACGCTACACGTAGGTAGAAAAATGATCGACAAAAATAAAAATTTCCTACGTATACGTGCCGGCGCACGCGTATTTCTAGCGGGATGGAAGCCCCACCCCCGCACACGCTATTGGGCCGTGACTCATCAATTATTCGGCCAACGGGGGATACGGTATACCCATGTGTACGCAACCTACATACATGAGGAAAAAAAAAAAAATAACCGGGGATACGACAGCTCTAATTTGATTGATTTAGCGAAAAAGAAAAAAAAAAAAAAAAAAAAAAGTTAGCATACGGTATTCTAACTAATAATAAAATAGTTTTGAGAAGAGATGCCGTCCATCGACAACGTCTCAGAGGATGACTCGGTTGTTTGAGAATGAGAGAGAGTAATATAATATTTCAAAGCTATCGTCAGCTCGGCTTGATGCGGCACTTGGATGATATATATATATATATATATAACGGGCGCACCGAAAGATTTAAGATCGCAAAACTGGTCGTATTTACACTCGGGGATGCTTTTTGAAAATGAACCAACGCCCCGAGAGTTTGTACGCATCCAACGACGGCTATGTTTATTCTTTTCCATGAAAAAAACGTACAGGTACTATATACATATAATTTGGATTAAGATAGAGAAATTTTTTACGTAATCTAAGAAAGGTAACGGCAAAATGAATCATTTAAACGCGCACGTATACCGAGATTCAGCGGCAGCGTACAGCGGTTGATTCGTTGTAAAAATAACCGTCGAGATTTTCGTCGCCGCCGTCGTCGGGGATCGAGACACCAAACTCTCATTAGGTGCACCACACGCACACGCATGTATAGGCCCGAAGGCGGTGATCATCGGCCGATCGGATCCGCCGAAAATATATCTGGGCTATCCTTGTGCATACCCCCCTTCCCTCCATCCAGCAGCAGCGTCGCCACCTTTTGTAAACAACGCGTCGAAGGAACTCGCGCAAAGATCGGATAATAAACTATTTATACGCGCGCGGAGCACTTATTCCAGGGAGGAAGAAACGAAAGTAGAGCAGTCGGCTGTTTCCGATAATATATACATACGGCTGCCGTGCTGATGGTGCTGTTGTTCTATAAAATAGGGGCTCGCGGATTTTAACGATGCAAAAGTCCACTTACACGTGATGCCCGATTATACACCCACCCGATGTACAATCAAGCATGGAAATGCAACTTTAAATGACATTGAAATAATCTTACTTGGTGGGAAAAATGAAATCTACGATCTCTGCAATCGCAATGGTATCGGTATAGGGTGTACATTGCTCGATCACGCGGTAACGGAAAGAGAAAAAAAGAGATGTCCCCTCGACGACGTCGTAAGCGGGTTGGTCATAAATGAATACGACCGAAACGACGCCACGATTGTTGCGCGTCCTTATGGCTAACTCACGAGCTTCCGCGCCGGCCAAAGTAACGCGAGTCGGCCTCCCGACCGAACGAGTGCACGTAGATGATGGCTAAATTTTCATTTGCCCGTGTGTAGGTGAACAACGGCTCGCCGGCCGAAGCTGCGGGTCTGCGGGCTGGGGACGCGGTCATCCGGGTCAACAGTACCGACATGTTCAACCTGAGGCACAAGGATGCCCAGGACGTGATCCTACGGGCCGGCAACAACTTCGAGATCACCGTGCAGAGGTAACTAAACCATTGTCACGTTGTTGCATACCTCGTAAATTCACCTATACGGAGGAAGCCCCCCCCCCTCTTTTTTTTTTGCTCAATGTAAAAAACAAAACGTGTGATTGCAGGGGAGCCAGCACGTGGAGGCCGAGCGTGTCGCCGGTGACAGCGTCGATCCCGTCGCCCCAGCCGAGCCAGCCAGTAAGTAAAATATCCCCGGTCACGAAAACCTCACTGGCCCACAAGCAACAAGACATCCGTCATATCGGTAGCGGACACAACCTCAGCCCCAAGCCATTCGTAAGTCATTTTGCAAATGAAACTCCAGAAAACAAAAAAAAAAAAAAATCGACACCATTGACACCACTCACGTACAAAACACGCGCATATACTTTGTTACATCTGTATACATGTTCTTTGTGCAATCTCTTGGTGGCTTTGGTTCTTACTCTAACATATATACTTTTACTTTAACTTACGCTTCTACAATTACCGTAACATATACATATACAGACCCACACGCCCTCATATACACACATAATCATATACTTTTTCGCCTGACGCAAACAGAGGCACGCTCGCAGCTAAGTATGTATATGGCTATAATTTTTACTCTTTCTCGCAAAATAACACGTGTAATAACGCAAGCACTCTCGTACACGGGCCTCGAGCAATTTTATATATATATACGTAACACCTTTATGAGGGAAAAGCTGCGGTGATTGAGTTTGGTCATCGGTGATGACTGTGAGAAGAGAAGCAAAAATTGCTTTTCCTTCGGAGATAGCGCGTCTATTGATTTGAAAATCCAGGCAGTACTCGTTATATTGTTGTTTGCCATCAATCGTACATGGATAGTCCGCGTACGAGTGCTTGTATATGCATTTTTTTTTTTTCCCCCCCAACCATTAACGCTATATGTGTGATACGCACGTTGCAGCTGAACGGGACGAGCGACGGTACGGTCAAGTCGATCGTTAGCAAGCAGTACAACAGCCCCGTGGGCATCTACAGCGAGGAAACGATCGCCGAAACTTTATCGGCTCAAGCTGAGGTGCTGGCTGGAGGCGTTTTGGGGTAAGATACGCACGAACCCTATATCCCCCCCCCCCTCCTCCTCTTTGCACCCTTTGGGCTTGTACGTGTACGGAGGGGACTCGGTGAAATGAAATTCGATCGGCGGGTGATGAGGGCAGATTGAAATTATCGTTTTGGTATATGAACCGTGCATTTCACGGTACACGCCGTTGGGGAATTTTTTCACCTACGATTCGTAACTTTTACACGTAGATCTATCTACGTTTCAGTTTTATAAAGGGTAACTGGGTATGATTATTTTTGATTTTTCATTGCATCTAAGGACTTTCATCCATTCGATTAGTCGGTAGGAATTCGCAAAGATTCACTTCCCGCGTAAACATTATACATATAATGATCACTTGCATGATGGAATAATAAGGTGATGTTTCATTTTTGGCGTTTAGGGTGAACTTCAAGAAAAATGAGAAGAACTACAATGCCCAGAACAGCGAGGTCTTCAAGATGGTCCAGGAGGCGGACAAAGAGCCGAAAACACCCGAACCCGGTTAGTAAACTGGACAAGTTGTCACTACTTTGATAGTAAAAAAAAAAAATTATCTTTCCACCAAAGGTATCGCCGTAAGGTCGAGATTCAAGGGTACGGTACACGTGGAATTAATTGCATGGCTGTCGATACATCGTTGTATATTTTTTCCGTATGGGAAAACCTTTCGCGCTAAATCTCGCGAACAATATCTGTACCGTATACCGTACCCTTCAACCCGACGAAACAGTTCAATTTTCTTGTCATCGAACATAGCACAATAGCACACGTATACTCTAAACACGCCCACAATCTCTTTCACAATTAAAAAAAAAAAAAAAAAAAAAAAAAAAAAAAATCGGCACCGCAATTAACAAAAACCGTGCAGCGGAGCCAGTCCAGCACAGCGGAAAAGTGACGCCAACGTCGCCGGCTCTCACGGGCTTGCGTTCGGTCCAGACGCCCGAGACCAGGATGCAACAGCAGCAACAACAGCACCAGCAACAACAGCAGCACCAGTCGAGCAACGGTCACCAGGCCAATCTCATACCCGGACAGAACATCTGCGCCGAGTGCGAGAGGCTCATCGTGTAAGTTCCATTTGACGGTTCATTTTCCAGGTGTCCGCCGAGTTGTCGGGGAAAGCAATCCTTGGAGTTTTTTCTCTCGCGCAGCCGAACAACGTCCCTTAGCTCATCAATCCCAATAACCCCCTTACCCCCCCCACTCGCCCCTTCTTTTATGATTTAAATAGCATACATACACGCATTTACACGCACATCTACATGACACATCTCACGCGTCAGCGTTAATTTCGCAATAAATAAACAATGAAATACGCACGTGGTGTCATAATATATTCATCGTCACGGTAGTTCCAGCGCGGACGGAGTTCTATTCGTCGGCGAGCCACATGGTCGGTGGTAGGCCGACCTCGCCGAGGTCACCGACGCCCTTGAGCGCCGAATTGGGCCATCCCCCGGCGTTTCCCCAAAAACAAGCGGGTCTTGCCACGGCCGACGTCAAACCCACGACGCCCGCTCGGGAGGGTCTGGTCATCTGCAACAACTGCGACACTCCGATTTTGTAATCACGTTGATGCGATTTTTTTTTTTTTTTTTTTTTTTTTTTTTTTCTTTTTTTTTTNTATATAACGGGCGCACCGAAAGATTTAAGATCGCAAAACTGGTCGTATTTACACTCGGGGATGCTTTTTGAAAATGAACCAACGCCCCGAGAGTTTGTACGCATCCAACGACGGCTATGTTTATTCTTTTCCATGAAAAAAACGTACAGGTACTATATACATATAATTTGGATTAAGATAGAGAAATTTTTTACGTAATCTAAGAAAGGTAACGGCAAAATGAATCATTTAAACGCGCACGTATACCGAGATTCAGCGGCAGCGTACAGCGGTTGATTCGTTGTAAAAATAACCGTCGAGATTTTCGTCGCCGCCGTCGTCGGGGATCGAGACACCAAACTCTCATTAGGTGCACCACACGCACACGCATGTATAGGCCCGAAGGCGGTGATCATCGGCCGATCGGATCCGCCGAAAATATATCTGGGCTATCCTTGTGCATACCCCCCTTCCCTCCATCCAGCAGCAGCGTCGCCACCTTTTGTAAACAACGCGTCGAAGGAACTCGCGCAAAGATCGGATAATAAACTATTTATACGCGCGCGGAGCACTTATTCCAGGGAGGAAGAAACGAAAGTAGAGCAGTCGGCTGTTTCCGATAATATATACATACGGCTGCCGTGCTGATGGTGCTGTTGTTCTATAAAATAGGGGCTCGCGGATTTTAACGATGCAAAAGTCCACTTACACGTGATGCCCGATTATACACCCACCCGATGTACAATCAAGCATGGAAATGCAACTTTAAATGACATTGAAATAATCTTACTTGGTGGGAAAAATGAAATCTACGATCTCTGCAATCGCAATGGTATCGGTATAGGGTGTACATTGCTCGATCACGCGGTAACGGAAAGAGAAAAAAAGAGATGTCCCCTCGACGACGTCGTAAGCGGGTTGGTCATAAATGAATACGACCGAAACGACGCCACGATTGTTGCGCGTCCTTATGGCTAACTCACGAGCTTCCGCGCCGGCCAAAGTAACGCGAGTCGGCCTCCCGACCGAACGAGTGCACGTAGATGATGGCTAAATTTTCATTTGCCCGTGTGTAGGTGAACAACGGCTCGCCGGCCGAAGCTGCGGGTCTGCGGGCTGGGGACGCGGTCATCCGGGTCAACAGTACCGACATGTTCAACCTGAGGCACAAGGATGCCCAGGACGTGATCCTACGGGCCGGCAACAACTTCGAGATCACCGTGCAGAGGTAACTAAACCATTGTCACGTTGTTGCATACCTCGTAAATTCACCTATACGGAGGAAGCCCCCCCCCCTCTTTTTTTTTTGCTCAATGTAAAAAACAAAACGTGTGATTGCAGGGGAGCCAGCACGTGGAGGCCGAGCGTGTCGCCGGTGACAGCGTCGATCCCGTCGCCCCAGCCGAGCCAGCCAGTAAGTAAAATATCCCCGGTCACGAAAACCTCACTGGCCCACAAGCAACAAGACATCCGTCATATCGGTAGCGGACACAACCTCAGCCCCAAGCCATTCGTAAGTCATTTTGCAAATGAAACTCCAGAAAACAAAAAAAAAAAAAAAAAAAGGTAATGAGACCAAGAGACGCGTAATTTTCAACGCACGCGATGAATGAGCTTATAGGTACAAGAGGCAAAGTCTCACGATTGTAAAAGCAAAAATGTTTCAGTTTCAGTGGACAAAAGACCCCGGCCAGCACGATTTCCGCGGCGCTGTCGAACACCGGGCCGCTCTCCCCGTCGCTCAGCAATCACGGGAGCTCGTCACCTCAGCCGTTCTCGGTAAGTTTCTTCCGCTTGGCTCCCTATATATTTTTGGGTTTTATCGCTATAATGTACTTACAAACATTGCAGTTGCTTTGGCAAAACTTCGACTCGCTGTTGCAGACAAATGATTTGTCGTTTTTATATGTATACAGAAAAACTTTTTTTTTTTAAGGACAGCTTATTTCTTCATCGATAACAATTTTTTATATTGGTTTTGATAGTCGTGCAGTTTTGTTTGAACATTAATTTTGGGATCTTCGATACATCAGCTCTGAGAGGGAGGAATGAAGTTTTTCTCTTCTTGCTCAATGCGACAGTTAACGTCAACTAAAAGTTCAAACTAAACAATACCCTTACAAAAAAAAACTAACGTCATCATCACCGAGTTATTGTCTTTAACGACTAATCGAAACACCATTTAAAATAAGAAGAAGAAGAAAACTTTTAACTTCCTCTCAATGTGGAGACTTGAATAAACAGAAAAAGAAAAGAAAAAAAAACCAGTGTCCGAGTAATCGTTTGGTTTAACAAAATGTTTGTCGTTGTGCGTGTGTGTTTTGTTTTGTGGCCTCGACTAATCGCTTTTGCAGAAATACGGGCTGATACGAGCCTACAGTCCCGAAACCCGCGCGTGCGAGTACAGAAACGCGTACAACAGCGGCATGATCGGCAGCAGGAGCATGAGCGGGAGCTTGAACAGCGTAAACAGCGATCGGCCGGACTCGAGCAGCTGCAGCCCGAACGAGTTGAAAACGTACACGAGCACCTTGAGCATCGAGCCGAGCGGCTTCGACGCTTACCACCACGACAAACGCTACTCGCCCGAGCTCGATCATAACCGAAACTCCATTAACAACTACTACTCTAACAACAACATTATCATGGACAACAAGTTGCACGAGCTTACGACCGAAATGCGCTATTTAGCTTTCGAGCAGCAGAAGCAGAAGCGCTGGTCGAACGGAGTACCCAAGGGCTTTCAGGTGATATGAAACGTTCCTGATCCGAGTATATGTGTACCTTATACATACGGACGAGGGCCGGAGTTACGAGGATCTTGCACTGTTTTGCGCCCAAATTTTTCTTCTCTAGCTTTTGCTTTTGCTTTTTTCCAGATTGTCCTTTTGTTTTGTGCTCTATGTGTGTTACTTTTTTGTTTGATCGTTTTTCCTATTTTTTCTTTTGATACTTACTTCTATATAATATACCCAAGGAGTACTTTCATTAATCAGTGCAAAGATAAGGTGACCGATAGTGGGGCGCTATACATGTCGATGCCACTTGGCGCGTGCGTTAGCACGAGAGTTACGTGAAACTTCCTCTTGGTGTAGGTTCAGGTGGATTGTATTCTTATCACGCGGCTGTGTCGTTTTATTCCTTTACTTCTCGCGACTCGACGTTTTACATGACACTGTATATCAGTCGAGTACGACCCGACATTTGTTTTAAATAGGAATTGAATTTCAACTCTTACCGTTGATCCGCGAAAGGACTCCGATACGCGTTTGTGGGATCATATGTGGGGGTGAATCGTGCAATTTTCGATTGTAAACGAAGCCCCAAAACTTGTTTGATTTGTGGTGGAAATATTTCGCCCCCATAGGATGACCATAATGGCACATGACGTTTTCAAAATATCATTTACTTGAAAGTTTACAGGCAAACTTGGGAAAGGGGGTACTTTTTCTTCTTTTTTTTTTTTTTAGATAACAACACTGTGCTTAATCAATTTTCTCCTGCAAAAAATGTACTTACGCATTATTACTTGAATGAATGAAAAAAAAAATTTCAGTTACAATAAAGTACTTTAATTGGAAACAAACACTTTTTTTAAAGTATCTAAAAATTCATAAAACAATTTTGCCCAAGACTAACAAAAAGTAGCGGACATTCCCTGCGTTTTAAACATTTTAAAGTTATGGACACAATAATGAGTATAATTTTTTTTTTTTTTTTTTTCTCTTCCACCCGTGCCCGTCTCCACTCCCCAAATTATCATACGGTTGTTGCTGATTATTGTGCTTTTGTCGTTTTGCACCCACGTACATTATTGTGTCATTCTGCAAAAATATCGATGCGTCACTTTCTTTATTTTATTTCCTCCTGGCGATGTGACATCTTTTTTTTTTTTTTTTGTTTTTTTCACTTTTTAAGAATATTGCCGATTCATCAACGTATCACAGCTTTTTACGTCACGTATATATATATTATGTCCAATTGCAGTAGATCATCACTATTTGCTTTGTAGACGTATAATCATCATCATCATCGATGCTAACTAAAAACGGGCACGCAATTGAAATGATCATCATATAGAAAGAAAATTATGCTTGCATCACGTTAAAATCTATAACTAATCACTTTTACGTGAAAGCTCTGTACTTGTATCCGTAAGGGCCTTGTAAGGTTGACTGAATGGGCAAATGCATATATATATATAGTCACGGTAAAGTCTGTGCTTTTCGTTACATGTTACTTATATGTATATATATATGGGTAATACAAGGCCCTTACGTGTATTTTATATCAAACTTACTCATACATTTAAGTGTATACTCGAGCCGAACTGAACTACCTATCGGTAAAAATTAAAATATGCGTACGGACACGTTGCAATGTATACAAGTACCTATACATCTTGGCCAGCTCACCTGTTTTCCGGCTCTCGCAAGGCCGCCAACCTATAGTATACATGTGCATGTATGAAGTGCGTATACGTATATATCTTTCAGACTTTTCCCCTCCCCCCTTTTGCCGATATCAATCATCAAACGATGCAGCGACGCAAGGCCGTCCTGTTGTTGTTTGTTGCTTCCTTCTTGCCACAGTAGTATTTATTATTTTCTCTTGTTATAATTCTTTTTTTTTTTTTTTTTTTTTTTTTTTTTTTTTTTTTTTTTTTTTTTTTTTTTTTTNTTTTTTTTTTTTTTTTTTTTTTTTTTTTTTTTTTTTTTTTTTTTTTTTTCAATTGCACTACATGCACACGTATGCATGATTATCTTGTATGCTCTCTCGCAGAGTTTACAAAGCAACCGCAGCTTCGTTGTTGCTGCTGATTCATGACTCGATACGATAGAGTACTTACCCATCAAGCTTTTTTTTTTTTTTTACTTACCTACCTGTTATTATTACATTCAACGTGTTTTTTTTTCCTCTAGGTGCTCACCGAGCTGTCTTTACATTTTTCTCTGCTTATGTTTACGATTTATTTTTGTTCACCAAAGAGCAATCGGAAGTTTTTTTTAATTGAATCTTAATCGACCCTCTGCCAATCGAGGTTACTTGTTGCCGATTTTTCATATTTTTTAAATCCATTTATTAATCCACCAGCACTTTTTTACGCTGACAGAAAATTTAAGTTCCTGAATCATCGTGGCACCGCTTTCCGTAGACTTTTTTTGTTTTTCTCTGACTAGTGATTTTTTTTTGTCGCTTCCCCAATCAACAAAAGTACTCAGCTTCTTTGCAATTCACGCGCAACCCTTTAAATCACATCCCAGATTGCTGTTGCATTTTAATCGATGTTGTACTTGCACAAAAATGCGTTTGAACTCGATGTAAGGGACAAGACGTTGTTCGCTGCTATACATGTATTGTGTGTACGAAAGTGACTTTTGTTACGTCGACTTTGATTTATGGCCATTTAAACGCGCAATGAAAGATAAAAATGAAATTCGATGTAAAAAGTCACGTGTACGGGTCAACCATAACGCCAATAGTGTAAATTTTTAGCGGATGAAATCAGTCGTCGTGGGTGTAACGAGGAACGATTTAATTTCATCCGTCCGAAAATCGTGTACTTACTAACCCAATAGTATGTATAACCCATTTGAAGTGTCGATTGACGTGTGCCCCCGCATTTCCAGCGGCGTGTTCGTGCGAATAAAGGAGAAGAACCTGCACGTCGAGTGCTTCAAGTGCGCGACCTGCGGGACCTCGTTGAAAAACGTCGGCTACTACAACATCAACAACAAGCTGTACTGCGACATCCACGCTAAAATGGTGGCTCGGCAAAATCAGGCGGCACCCGCCGTACCACCGGCTGTTGGACCGTACGTATATATACACCCACTCTCGATCGTTGATCGTTGCTTCGATTGCTCCACACGATATACTTTGAGAAATCACTATTATGCACACAAATAACTTACTCCAACTGTCTCTGATAACGATACCTGCCGCTGTTGAAGTGTAGTTGTCGGAGTGTACTGTACCGTTTTTTAAAATATTAAAAAAAAAAAAAAAAAAAAAAAAAAATTTTTTTTTA